ACTCAAAGTGCACTTTGTCTGTTGGATAATTCACATAAGTAAAAAAAGGTTTTGGCTTGTTTCAGGTATTTCTCTTATAATATGCAATTGATATATAGTTTCAGCCTTGCCATTTTCTTCCACCCTGCAATAATATGTCAATGCATTTATTATATGCTAAATATTCTGTATTCAGTTGAACGGTCCTTTAGATCAGGGATGTCGAACCACACCCACCCCCGTTTTAGCAAAGGGAAAAAACTCACAATACGTCCCATAACGACAATGTGACAACATGAGTTTGACACCCCTGCTTTAGATGATTTATGATATATTATAATAATCCACTTCTACATAATAAACTAGTCCTTAAAACCTGTGGTGGGGTCGACCCTGAGACCACCACCCCATTAGCCCCTGGACCCAGTGGCATAGAGGGCCGAACTGATTACAAGGTGCAATGCATCCTCGACTCTAAGTGGCACGGGGGCAGCTCCAATACTTAATCAAGTGGAAGGGCTACCCTCTATCAGAGGCGTCTTGGGTAAAGAGCAGAAACATTCAAGCTGATCACCTCATAGCCAAATTCCATGAAAAGAACCCGATCAAGTCTGGGGCAGGATTACACCCCTAAAAGATATATCTGTACTCAAACTGTTTTTGCTTTGCACAGGTTGCCTTCAGGAAGTGAGGGAATGTCAACTCGCGAAGCTTTCCTGACCTGCTCCCAAGTTGCCATAGGCAGGAGGATGGGGAATTGTGCCTCGCAGCTGCATCAAGGAATTCGCATCTCAGTCAAAACAAAACACATCCTAGCCAGCTGAAATCAAGGCCATCTCCACGGAGACCCATAATGGTGACTTCTACGACCCACAAAATTTCTTTGTTGGGGAATGTGACTGATGACACACTTTGGGTGGAGAGGGAAACAGGGTCAGAGGCAAGGTGCGAACTGAGTGAAGTTAGAGCTGGCTTGCTGTCAGGGTTCCGACCGATGCCCTAATAAAAGCAGGAGCCTCAAGCAAAGTTTCAAGAAAAATCCAGTTGTTTAAAAAATCCATGTTGGCACGGACCAAGTTAAGCCAGCTCTAGCTTCACTTAGTTCAGGCCTTGCCTCTGACCCTGTTTTCCCCTCCCCCAAGGTGTGTCATCAGTCACATTCCCCAACGAAAAAAAATTGTGGGTCGTAGAAGTCACTCCCTCTGGCCATTGTGGGTCTCCACAGAGATGGCCTTGACTTTGGCCGGCTAGGATGTGTTTTGTTTTGACTGAGGTGGGAATTCCTCGATGTAGCTACGAAGCACGATTTCCCATCCCCCTGCCTATGGCAACTTGGGAGCAGGTCAGGAAAGCTTCGCAAGTTGACACTAGTGATCTTGTTGGCAAAACAAGTGCTTCATAAAAGCAAGGCACCTCACTTAAATACTTTGCTTTCACTCTACTAAGCAATTCCAGCAGTGCATGCCAATTCAGTACAATGAACCATTCATTCACATCAGGTATATAGTATGTAACAAATGTTTGTCCTAGCAATTGATTAAGGTATGAAACAACTACATACTGCAATATCAGTAAGCCTCTAACTTCTCTACAAATGTAGAATATAGGAGAAGTAAGAAAGCTTTATTCTGTATCACAGACATGCAACCAAGTTAAAGACCAGATTCAATCCAGCTCTTTTAGGGCTAAAATAAAGCAGCCTTCAATTTAAAACTATAAGACATACATGCATTCTTTTTCTTATAGACTTCAGGTATCAGTATAGAAAAGAAAATTTTAACTAGATGGAATATATGTCTAAAATTCATGAAATTTAACAGGATCCTTCTTGGGCATATTTTCAAGGGCTGCTGTGAAACAGAACTGCATTCATGTACATAACTACTGTCAAATGTTATATATAAGCAAAATGCCCATTGGAATCATTCTCAATAGCACTGAAATTAACAAAGGCTTCTCATTGCATCAATACTAGATTATAATAGAAATTTAGCAAAAATATAGTTTGGCTGAAACTAATGTTTGCCAATATTGGCAGAAACAGCGCTGGCAGATATATACTAAGAACTTCTTTTCTGCCTCACTTTTCTAGTTCCGCATTTATAGAAAATATATAACGTTTCCCAAATGCATGCATAGAAAATGACAGGTTTTATTACCTTTACCAAAGTGTGTTCATAGTGAAGTAACAGATAGGGCAAATTTGGTGTGGAGGGAGAGGACATCCAAAAACATACTTTTCTTCCAGGATGCGCTTCCATACATTGTAACTGGCATCTCCTTTATCCAAATTCACAATCACAGTATGGACCTACCTGTTACTGCATCTAGTTTGGCTCATCGTATTTTAACATTTGCCATCAAGGCAGTAGTGAAATCTAAAATTTATTACTACCGGTTCTATGGGCATGGCTTGGTGGGGGGGTAATGTGACTGGGTGGGCGTGGCCAACTTTTTTTTTTTACTTTTAAAACCATTTTTTCTACAACCTCTTCAGCCGAAGAGGTTGTAGAAAAAATGCTTTTAAAAACCTCTGACGATCCCAGCTGAGCCACGTGAACATCAGAGGCCAAAGAGGTTGTAGAAAAAATGCTTTTAATTTTTTTTTAAAAGCCTCTGATGATCGTGTAGCTCAGCTGGGCATGGGGGGGGGGGCAGGAATTTTTGCTACCATTCTCCGAACCACCCGCCTCCATTGCTACCGGATCGGGTGATCCGGTCTGAACCGGGAGCATTTCACCCCTGCATCAAGGTCAGAGTAATAATCTAGCTAATCTAATAATGCCATGCCCAAATAAATAAATAAATAAATCTAATAATTAACAAAACTCAGTTATCTGTTTTGGTTTGTCTTCCAAACTCTCCAGGTCACAAAGATCTACTTCATAACAGTTCTGGATCTAACTATTCATTTATTCTTCATCTATGAAAATCTCCTGTGAAAATTTGGGAAATCCTCTAGAACAGTATTGGAAGAGGCTCAGTTCAGTGACTCAATGCAGGAAGTATCTAATTCATTTCCTGCAAAGAAGCAATCACAAAACATTCAACCTACTCAAGCCCAGTACTGTCAACTTTTTGACATAGGCCAGGCAACAGACACCACTGGAAATACTGGAACTCTACTCAGTGATGGAGACCACACTTGCCCAACTTTTATCCTGGAAGAACCCTTGAAATAATCTCAGGGAAATTCTCATAAAATTTGCAAAAGAATATGAAAACTTTCTAATAAAATTTACTTTTAACCAGGGTGGATAAAAATCAATGATTTTTTTAAAAAAATCAAAAAAATCAGATTTTTTTGATTTAAATTGATTTTTTTGATTTAAATTGATTTTTTTGATTTAAATCAGATTTTTTTTACTTTTATCGAATTTTTAATAAAAAACTTTTGGGGTAAAAATCTATCATAAGATAGTTTTCGATTTAAGATACATAAATAATTTAGTTTATTCAGCATGAAATGGAGCTTAGTTATGTAGCATGAGGCTGTATATTCTGCAACACTGGGACTATCGGTGAGTCAACAGTGGGTCAAAGGAGTAGCAGAGATGACAGTTGCTCTTTAAAAATTATGATTTAAATCGAGTTGATTTAAATCAAGCCTTTTTACTAATGATTTAAATCATGATTTAAATTGTGATTTAAACCAACTCGATTTAAATCAAATCCACCCTGCTTTTAACCCATACTTCTCACATTTTACAACATAACAACAAAGCATAAGGCTGGCAGCTGAAATATAGCATATTTAAAAATTTCCTGCATGCGAGCTCTAGCATTATGCAGCATGGAAAGTTTTTCTTAAAAAAACATTTTTTTCAATTGTGTTTTCTTGTAGAATCTCCAGCAACCTTGACGTGGAAGTCACTGACAACAGCAGAGGAGATGCACTTCATCTGATTAGCTCATGCTAAATCAGGGGTGTCAAACTGGCGGCCTGCGGGCCGGATGCGTCACATGCAGGCCACGCCCAACCCAGCTCCGTGAATGGGAAAAACATCGTGAAATGTCATGTGACAGCAACATGATGCCATGAATTTGACACCTGTGTGCTAAATCAATTTATTCCCTGCCCACCCACCCCTTGCCAGGAGACATCATGGCCAGATATTAGGTTTGTTGGTCACTTGGGAGGTGTTTCCCCCCCCCACCCCCGAAGAAAAAGACTTGATCTGTGTAAAGTATCAGATGGTGGACTTTCTGAAAGCAAAGACTTTCATAACTGGAGTCCAGAGTATTATCCCTACAACATTTCATGGTAGTGAATAGGTTATTATTATTATTTTTAAAATGCAGGTATGCTATAGAACAGGGGTCTCCAACGTGCTATAGAACAGTGCTTCGGGGAAGAGCGCATATATTCCATGGTTCATACTTTATGCAAGCCTGGTCTAAATCAGTGTTTTTCAACCTTCACCACTTTAGGATGTGTAGCCTTCAACTCCCAGGCTTTCCTAATCCTAACCAACATGCATGTTGTTTTTCAATACTGCTTCCTAAACATTTTATTATGCTTGGAGGGAAAAATGAAAAACAAGTACATTTAGTAGTACCTGTTTAATGTCATTTTGTAAAGATACATCCTTTACAAAGTATTAATCCTTTTTATGTTGCTATTTTGTCATCGTAAAAGTATAGCAGATGCTCAGCTTTCTCTTTAAAGATACCGGCAAACAATAGTCAGCCAAAGAATTGGGAATTAAGGGGAAACAGCTACTATTCTCGCTGCCTACGCATCATTCCAAGATTAATGCCTAATAGATTGCCAGCTCCTCCTCTGCTATTCAGTTATTCTGGGCCCAAAGTGGGGGATGCCTCTACTTGCTGATACTTAACTTTTCCCTCTAATCAAACAGCTCTTGATAAGAAGCCCTCAACTTTCTTCATTTCCTTCCACCGGAAGCACCATTTCTTTCAACTTTTCTTAATTTCCAGAAAGGACCAGCTTGTTTTGTATTTTTAAAAAAATGTTCTCATGCCTTTCAATATAATGCTCTGTTTCCTCTATTATCTAGGAACAACTCTGAAAAACTGCAGAAAATTTACTACACAAGATTAGCCTGCAAATATTTATCTGGAAATTATCTACAAAGGACTGTGTAAGAATATTGTTTGTGCATTCTTCTACAAGTTAATTTTCTAAGTACCTCAACAGATTTTTTATGGAAAATTTAAGAGATTAATTTTTTTACCCTACACCAAAAAAAAAAAAAAAAAAAAAAGGAATATTCCAAAAATCCATTGAATCCTTTTGTGGGTAGTATTAGCTTCCAGCAGAGTAACCGAAAGCACTCTCTACGGAGACTATAAAAGAGCAACATGAAGCAGAGAAACAGCTGGGTGGCATAAGCAATGCTACTCCTTCTTTCACTAACCAAGCGAACTATGCTAGGGATCTTATTATTTTAATACATTTTACCATATGTTGTGCCAGGGGTGAAATCCAGCAGCTTCTAACAGGTTCTGGAGAACCGGTAGCGGAAATTTTGAGTAGTTCGGAGACCTGGCAAACACCACCTCTGGCTGGGCCCAGAGTGGGGTGGGAATGGAAATTTTACAATATCCTTCCCCCAGGAGGGGTGAGAATGGAGATTTTGCAGTATCCTTCCCCTGCCATGCCCACCAAGCCATGTCCACAGAACCGGTAAGGAAAAATTTTGGATTTCACCCCTGTGTTGTGCCTATCTGAAGGCAGAAGGCAGAAGGTTGTGTAATTTCTACCTCAACTTTGTGAGAAACTATGTTGTTAATTCTTTGTAATTGTGTCACAAATGGAAAAAGGGTGAGCTCAAAACAGACCCTAATTTAGAATATTACCATATTTTTTGGAGTATAAGATGCACTTCCCCCCAAAAAAGAGTGGGTGGAAATGTCTGTGCATCTTATACAGCAAATGTTGCTAAAGTCCTGCTCACCCGCCAGCCCTCACCGCCTATCCCCGCCGTCCGGAATGGGCCAAAAATGAGACGCACAGAGGCCGAAAACAGCACCCACGGAGGCCAAAAACAGGGCACATGAAGGCGGCGATAGGTGACAATGGCGATGGATGGCGCCAGCACCGATGGGCGGCAGCGATCCCCGCAGCCTGGAACAGCTGACAGGAGGTATTCCAGAAGGCAGATCCAACCGCCAATCAGGTGCTCATGCTAAATCATGCTGTGCTGAAGCTGACCACACTGTTTGCTGTAAGGAGAAAATTGCTAGGAGGAAGAGGCCAATTTTTTTTCTTGTTTTCCTCCCCAATAGCTAGGGGCGTCTTATACTTTGGAGCGTTTTATAGTCCAAAAAATATGGTATTTATTTATTGTTTATGACATTTCTTTATTTCCACTAACAAAATTTGTGTCATCAGTTCCTTAATTTAAGTACATTTTGTTTTTGGAAACCTAAAACTGCTGCTCTTTAAATAATAATCTGTTCACTCCCAGTTTTGTATCTGTGCAGGGTCATTATCCCAAGTCTTTTTTTTAAGTGATGCAGAATTTGTTTCCAATTTTGCCAGCTCTCTTTTGCAGGTAGATAATCAGGTTTTACCAGCTTCCCCACTGTTTACATACATTTTTCAAGTGAGAATCACCACAGGTCCCATTTAATTCAGTAAGATTTACTTCTAGGTAAATGTGCATGGAATAGCATCCCAGGTTATAACCTTTAATAATTTTTAATATGTGCAAAGAGATATATCAGATCAACATAACCTTCAAATGTTTCAGGTGCATCTATTCTACTGCTGGTAAAATAAGGCTAGGATTTTCATTTGTTGAGTGATGTTTATGGAAACAATTAAAAACAACACATTTGTAAACTTTCATAAATTTATGTTGGCAATGAGAAGAGTGTGGTACAATTTACTTTGATTCCTGTAGTTAGATAGATAGATAGATAGAATCAAGATACCTGTCTACATGAAATTCAGAGTTCTGTTATGTATTGCTGTTCTTTCTGGTTGTTTTATAAAGTGCAATTTTTATCCATCCTTTAATGGTTAAAATTAAAGTCAGAATTAAGTCAGAAAACATGAGTACTTGAACAATGTGCAATGCAGAAATAATTCATATGTAACTTTCTATGAGTTGAACCTTACATCTGGATTTACCATCACATTGTGGGGGGCGACATGGCGCTCCCACGTGACACCTTTCCTGCGTGAGCTGCATTGGCTTCCAGTGGTCTTCCGGTGTGCTTCAAGGTATTGGTTCTCATCTTCAAAGCGCTCCATTGCTTAGGGCCCGGTTATTTACGAGACCACCTTCTGCCACCGATAACCTCCCACCGGCCAATACGCTCCCACAGAGAGGGCCTCCTCAGGGTACCGTCGGTCAGGCAATGTCGGCTGGCGACCCCCTGTGGAGCCTTCTCTGTGGGGGCACCCGCCCTCTGGAATGAGCTATCCCCAGGGATACGACTGATCCCAGACCTCCGTACCTTCCACCGGGCTCTGAAGACTTTTTTATTTCAGCAAGCCAGGCTGGGTTAAAAATCTTTTAATTGTTGAATTTTATGGGTAAGAGGTTTTAAATTGGGGGAAGCCAATATAAATTTAATTTTGTTTTTATAGTATTTTAATGTTTATATTGTATGTTTTTTAATTTTGGCTGTTCACCACCCCGAGTCCTTCGGGAGAGGGGGCTGTATAAAATTTTTAAAAAATAAATAAATAAATAAATAAATAAATAAATAAATAAATAAATAAATAAATAAATAAATAAATAAATCATACATTTATATCTTGAACTCAGCAATTTATAAACATCTAATGATTAAAGCTTGCTTGATCCAACTAGAAAATTTCTTTAGGATGTGTTTTGCTCAGATGTAAAAACAGATTTTTCAAAAATTATGGACAGCACTTTTTTTTAAAAAAAAGCAGTACTAGTACCACTCCCTTCTGTTTATGAACCTCACCCACATATTTTTTATTTTTTTTTAAAGTGTCTGTGTTTTAGAATCAAAGGAAACATATTTAGACTACATCATGGATCATCATGAAAAGGCTTTTCACTCACAACTGCAGCAACATCTATTTCTAGAGAAGATGTCTTAAGCATCACAAGGATTTCAGCTAGATCCACTGTTTTGCAGATTTGTTTTTAAATGTTATCATGACTAAATATTCCCACTTAATGACTTTATGAGCATGAAGTCCCAGCAATAATCTTACTTAGGTGTGTGAGGCCCTCAAGAACCTGGAGGCAGGGGTATGCAAACAAAACCTCATAAATTTAGATTATTTTCCAAGAGTTTTATTTAGTGAGAAATATTAGAGATTGATTTGTGTGTTTCTGTGTATGTGTGTGTGTGTGGGGAGGGGTTGTCGGTAATTTAACATGAGTAGAAAATACCTCCCAATTGCAACCCTGCTAATACAGAATTCCACATTTCAGGAAAACTTCCAAACACTGCCTGCTAAATGCACTAAAAATCACCATACAGATCTTCATAACAAATGCCCAAGGTCAAGGGGTGGGTTAGCACATGTAGCCCTGGCCCTCTACACACTGTGTTGGATTCCTGCCTGCAGGCTGATCTTCTGAATAGGGATTTCCCGGATACAGAATGTTTAGTGCAAAGGAAATGGTTAGTCCCAAATTTTAAAAAATTAGCCATCCTCAAGTAGTGCAGAACATTTGGAAGGGATAAAGGAAAAGTACAGTCAGATAATTGGCCAATAAGATACTTTTCATCAAGAAAAATGCTGCTCACACTTATCAAAACAAACAAACAAATGAAATTGCACGGCTGTTAAACTGGAGTTCAAAATTCAAGGTTAATTATGATCAGTTAGCAAAAACAATGCACAAGTGGCTAAGTTAAAGAGCCCGTTCAATTATCAATTACTTTAAACTGTCCTCATCAAAAGGCTAAGAGGAATTTGCTCAGCTCAAGGGTAACTAGAGGCCTTCGTGAATCATGCTTTTATAAGCAGTGCTTTTACAATCAGCTTCCGTTCTCTTCTGCTATCCTGTCACTTTGCTTTATGCAGTTCTACGTATCACTGGCTTGGAGTTCTTTATGGGATTATTTAAAAAGATTATTTAAAAAGAAAGAAAGGGAGCAAAGATGAAAGGAAGTAAAGGCATCCTGTGATGACAGCTTCAATGTGCTCATGAATAGAAATCAACAAAGAAGGTGTAGGTTGCATATGTATGTGTATATCTATCTGTTAGGAGTAGGACTTACAGATCAACAAGTCAATGATCATTGATGGAGAGAGTAAAAAAAGATTAATCAGTCAGTGATTATCACCATTTGTGCAAGAAAAGAGACTCATTGTTGAAGGATCTGTTGAATATATAGCATTCTCAGAAATCAGGCTCTGTGATTCGGGCTAATTATGCAGAAACACAAACAAGAAAGGGGCAGTGGCAAAATCAGTTAACATATGTGCAAGCATGAGGTCATGCTGTACTCAGTGCAAGGCAAAAAAATGAGAACGCCCGTCCTTAACTCTATCAAGAGAAAACAAAGCTTGGCTGAGATCAGTCTACATTATTATCCAGCTGTTTGATCTTTTAAAACGAAGGCCTCAGATGATTACAAAACCTATCAGTTCTTCTAGTTTAATAATTCAGATACTCCAGATTGCAATTATTCCATTTATATATTTCTCAGATTTGTAAAACACACTTATGTGGCTTATAAACTTTTTTTAAAAAAAAATTAGCTGCCATAAAACCAATTTAGCAAGCAGAATGCAAAAAAAAAAAAAAAGAGCAAAGAACTCTGAATTGCACTATTTTTATTAGAAAGGACACAAGAAAACTACCTTATTCCATATCACTCACTCATCTAGTTTTGTACTGAACACTGACTAGCAGAAATCTTCTACAGACAGAATATCAGCTTATGTTTTTCCATTTTTTGTTCCTCAAGAGGAAAAATAAGGAAATTCTGCAAGCCGAACAATCACAATTTATCTTTGGTCCAAAATATTTTCATCTATTTATACATATGGCTACAGACTCACATAAAATCTCCCTCAGAGAATACAGCCTCCACTGAAACTACTATATTTTAAAATCTTGACATGCAAACCCATAATTCAATTTTGACTTATCACCAACATAATAGAGTCAAGATAGAAATATATGCCTGATACTGTAGTTTCACCCAGTGTTTCCTAGCCTGTCCTTCTTCAGATCTGTTGGGATCACAGGGACACTCATTTCCAGAAAACATGTTAAAAGAAGGACAATAGGAGTTTCAGTTCACTCTATTTGGAAGAAGCCAGATGTGGGTGGCTGCATTCAACAGCCTGCTAAACATTGAGGATTAGTGGCACAAGAAGATATTATCCAAGAATGGGTGCTCATTAGCTATTAAGGACAGGTCAACATAGAAACCTTGTTTGATTTATCGTTCAAGGTTATATATATATAACCTTGGTTATATATTATATCAAGGTTATATATTATATAACCAATCAACCAGAATAGCTCAAGGTTGAATAGAAAGCTACTTCCAGAATTAGTTCCCAAATGTACCCAAGATAAGGCAAAACAAGTACTATTGTGAAAGTCAGCCCCCAGTACCCAGTAATTATTACGGTGAGTCAGAAAAGAAAACCCTGGCAGTGTTTTATCACCTTCCTGATTTAGAGTTAAATACTTTCAAAGATCCCGTATAAAATATCTGCTTCAATAAAGGCTATTTATGGTATGCCTATCCAAAAAAAAAAAAAAAAAAAAAACCCTCAAAGGAGTTTTAAAACTAGAAATAAACTTGAACTAATAAATTTGAAAATAAACTCCAATGAAGGGGAGTCCGCTACTCCCCACTCATCAGGTTGCTATACTGGTATCCACACAAAATTTGCTTCATTG